ATCGAATGATACCAGCGGCTAGTCTAGGCTATTTTCTCACTTTTCGTAGCCTAAAATGAAGCATCTGAAGCGATACCTCGCTAAATGATTTTTGGTACTTATTTAAGCATACTTCTAGGTTACGCATGCGTATCTCTCCAAATGGCCTCGTCATGGCTATCGAATGATACCAGCGGCTAGTCTAGGCTATTTTCTCACTTTTCGTAGCCTAAAATGAAGCATCTGAAGCGATACCTCGTTCAATGATTTTTTTGGAACTTAAAATAGCGTATTTATAGGTTACGCATGCGTATCTCTCCAAATGGCCTCGTCATGGCTATCGAATGATACCAGCGGCTAGTCTAGGCTATTTTCTCACTTTTCGTAGCCTAAAATGAAGCATCTGAAGCGATACCTCGCTAAATGATTTTTGGTACTTAAAATAGCGTGGTTCTAGGTTACGCATGCGTATCTCTCCAAATGGCCTCGTCATGGCTATCGAATGATACCAGCGGCTAGTCTAGGCTATTTTCTCACTTTTCGTAGCCTAAAATGAAGCATCTGAAGCGATACCTCGCTAAATGATTTTTGGTACTTAAAATAGCGTGGTTCTAGGTTACGCATGCGTATCTCTCCAAATGGCCTCGTCATGGCTATCGAATGATACCAGCGGCTAGTCTAGGCTATTTTCTCACTTTTCGTAGCCTAAAATGAAGCATCTGAAGCGATACCTCGCTAAATGATTTTTTGGTACTTAAAATAGCGTGGTTCTAGGTTACGCATGCGTATCTCTCCAAATGGCCTCGTCATGGCTATCGAATGATACCAGCGGCTAGTCTAGGCTATTTTCTCACTTTTCGTAGCCTAAAATGAAGCATCTGAAGCGATACCTCGCTAAATGATTTTTGGTACTTATTTGAGGGTATAAGCTGATAATGCCGATTCACAGAATGCCGATTTACAGAATGCCGATTTACAGATGCCGATTTTACAAAATGCCGATTTACAGAATGCCGATTTACAAAATGCCGATTTACAGAATGCCGATTTACAGAATGCCGATTTACAGAATGCCGATTTACAGAATGCCGATTTACAGAATGCCGATTTTGCATATTTTGGGTTTTACATCAAAAACACAAACCGGATCCCATAAAAAAAATTACCCGACTTGGCCATAGCCAACCGCCAGACCTGAGGCTTAGCTTTTTTCTTTTCTTTTTTCTTTCTTTCCACCTAGGTTTCACTCTCTTCTTTAACTCGCAAGCCTCGCGACAAGTCTCAATCGTTTTCGCTGGTCGCCGACACCTCTCACGCGCTGATCCACAGCGACAAAACTCGATGACTCATTATTTCTTGGTTGAGAATGCCCGGCCTCCGGTCGAGAGGAAGGCAAAACTGTTCGGTAGAAGAAGTTAGCTTAGTAACCTAAGGGAGGCCCCTTTGCAACGTGGAACTAGAGTTTCTATAAAAAAAAAGAAAAAGCTAAGCTTCAGATCTGGCGGTTTCGCCATGCCCAAGTCGGATAATGTTTTTTATGGGGATCCTGTTTGTAGTTTAGATGCAAAACCCAAAATATGCAAAATCGGCATTCTGTAAATCGGCATTCTGTAAATCGGGATTCTGTAAATCGGCATCCTGTAAATCGGCATTCTGTAAATCGGCATTTTGTAAATCGGCATTCTGTAAATCGGCATTTTGCAAAATCGGCATTCTGTAAATCGGCATTCTGTGAATCGGCATTATGTAGGTAAATCTTATTTGAGCATACTTCTAGGTTACGCATGCGTATCTCTCCAAATGGCCTCGTCATGGCTATCGAATGATACCAGCGGCTAGTCTAGGCTATTTTCTCACTTTTCGTAGCCTAAAATGAAGCATCTGAAGCGATACCTCGCTAAATGATTTTTTGGTACTTATTTAAGCATACTTCTAGGTTACGCATGCGTATCTCTCCAAATGGCCTCGTCATGGCTATCGAATGATACCAGCGGCTAGTCTAGGCTATTTTCTCACTTTTCGTAGCCTAAAATGAAGCATCTGAAGCGATACCTCGCTAAATGATTTTTGGTACTTATTTAAGCATACTTCTAGGTTACGCATGCGTATCTCTCCAAATGGCCTCGTCATGGCTATCGAATGATACCAGCGGCTAGTCTAGGCTATTTTCTCACTTTTCGTAGCCTAAAATGAAGCATCTGAAGCGATACCTCGTTCAATGATTTTTTTGGAACTTAAAATAGCGTATTTATAGGTTACGCATGCGTATCTCTCCAAATGGCCTCGTCATGGCTATCGAATGATACCAGCGGTTAGTCTAGGCTATTTTCTCACTTTTCGTAGCCTAAAATGAAGCATCTGAAGCGATACCTCGCTAAATGATTTTTGGTACTTAAAATAGCGTGGTTCTAGGTTACGCATGCGTATCTCTCCAAATGGCCTCGTCATGGCTATCGAATGATACCAGCGGCTAGTCTAGGCTATTTTCTCACTTTTCGTAGCCTAAAATGAAGCATCTGAAGCGATACCTCGCTAAATGATTTTTTGGTACTTATTTAAGCATACTTCTAGGTTACGCATGCGTATCTCTCCAAATGGCCTCGTCATGGCTATCGAATGATACCAGCGGCTAGTCTAGGCTATTTTCTCACTTTTCGTAGCCTAAAATGAAGCATCTGAAGCGATACCTCGCTAAATGATTTTTTGGTACTTAAAATAGCGTGGTTCTAGGTTACGCATGCGTATCTCTCCAAATGGCCTCGTCATGGCTATCGAATGATACCAGCGGCTAGTCTAGGCTATTTTCTCACTTTTCGTAGCCTAAAATGAAGCATCTGAAGCGATACCTCGCTAAATGATTTTTTGGTACTTATTTGAGGGTATAAGCTGATAATGCCGATTCACAGAATGCCGATTTACAGAATGCCGATTTACAGAATGCCGATTTTACAAAATGCCGATTTACAGAATGCCGATTTACAAAATGCCGATTTACAGAATGCCGATTTACAGAATGCCGATTTACAGAATGCCGATTTACAGAATGCCGATTTACAGAATGCCGATTTTGCATATTTTGGGTTTTACATCAAAAACACAAACCGGATCCCATAAAAAAAATTACCCGACTTGGCCATAGCCAACCGCCAGACCTGAGGCTTAGCTTTTTTCTTTTCTTTTTTCTTTCTTTCCACCTAGGTTTCACTCTCTTCTTTAACTCGCAAGCCTCGCGACAAGTCTCAATCGTTTTCGCTGGTCGCCGACACCTCTCACGCGCTGATCCACAGCGACAAAACTCGATGACTCATTATTTCTTGGTTGAGAATGCCCGGCCTCCGGTCGAGAGGAAGGCAAAACTGTTCGGTAGAAGAAGTTAGCTTAGTAACCTAAGGGAGGCCCCTTTGCAACGTGGAACTAGAGTTTCTATAAAAAAAAGAAAAAGCTAAGCTTCAGATCTGGCGGTTTCGCCATGCCCAAGTCGGATAATGTTTTTATGGGGATCCTGTTTGTAGTTTAGATGCAAAACCCAAAATATGCAAAATCGGCATTCTGTAAATCGGCATTCTGTAAATCGGGATTCTGTAAATCGGCATCCTGTAAATCGGCATTCTGTAAATCGGCATTTTGTAAATCGGCATTCTGTAAATCGGCATTTTGCAAAATCGGCATTCTGTAAATCGGCATTCTGTGAATCGGCATTATGTAGGTAAATCTTATTTGAGCATACTTCTAGGTTACGCATGCGTATCTCTCCAAATGGCCTCGTCATGGCTATCGAATGATACCAGCGGCTAGTCTAGGCTATTTTCTCACTTTTCGTAGCCTAAAATGAAGCATCTGAAGCGATACCTCGCTAAATGATTTTTTGGTACTTATTTAAGCATACTTCTAGGTTACGCATGCGTATCTCTCCAAATGGCCTCGTCATGGCTATCGAATGATACCAGCGGCTAGTCTAGGCTATTTTCTCACTTTTCGTAGCCTAAAATGAAGCATCTGAAGCGATACCTCGCTAAATGATTTTTGGTACTTATTTAAGCATACTTATAGGTTACGCATGCGTATCTCTCCAAATGGCCTCGTCATGGCTATCGAATGATACCAGCAGCTAGTCTAGGCTATTTTCTCACTTTTCGTAGCCTAAAATGAAGCATCTGAAGCGATACCTCGCTAAATGATTTTTGGTACTTATTTAAGCATACTTCTAGGTTACGCATGCGTATCTCTCCAAATGGCCTCGTCATGGCTATCGAATGATACCAGCGGCTAGTCTAGGCTATTTTCTCACTTTTCGTAGCCTAAGATGAAGCATCTGAAGCGATACCTCGCTAAATGATTTTTCGGTACTTATTTAAGCATACTTCCGGGTTACGCATGCGTATCTCTCCAAATGGCCTCGTCATGGCTATCGAATGATACCAGCGGCTAGTCTAGGCTATTTTCTCACTTTTCGTAGCCTAAGATGAAGCATCTGAAGCGATACCTCGCTAAATGATTTTTCGGTACTTATTTAAGCATACTTCCGGGTTACGCATGCGTATCTCTCCAAATGGCCTCGTCATGGCTATCGAATGATACCAGCGGCTAGTCTAGGCTATTTTCTCACTTTTCGTAGCCCAAAATGAAGCTGCTTAAGCGATACCTGCTTAAGGTCGCCGCAGCTTTCTGACTTTCTACCTGATTGTTCTGAAATTGTTCTTGGCTGCATTTTTTGGCCATTGGGAACCTCCCGAAAAATATTTATCGAACCGAGTATTGAAACACACCGAGCACAGTAAATGGACGAGAGGAATGGAATCCGATGGACGACATATTGGGGGGAAATATACAAAAACACCCAAGAAGAGACGTGCTGGAGCTAGAGACGGAGAGGAGACCCAAACAAAACCCTATGGGCTCGAGGAAATCGGGGGTGTACGGCGGAGGCTTATGAACGATCGAGAGATTAGGACGTAGTACTATAGATGAGGTAAGGCTGGAGGTTAAATGGCCGTTGAGATGTTGCGACGAAGTAGATGTTATGCTCGGATTTTTGCAGATCCGTGGCTCATTCGCGGCGCAGCATTGCATCCCGGATCATTAGCGGCGACCCTGAAAGGCAGAAAATCAAAAATCATCAAATGACGACCAAATTTTGGATTCTATGAGCTGATTATCCCTTTTGCGGTGCTGTAGGATTGCCCGGTGGATCAACTTTTTTCGATGCAACCGTAATTTTTTAGGCAAATTATTGCTAGTCTACATTCACTTGAGATCTTCTTGGGCATAAAAACCTTGCAAATTAGACACAAAAAAGATTAAATTTTTAGTAGATTTTATTTGAAGTTTTCATAGAAAACGAACAATTTTCGACTTTTGAAACCATTTATTAGCGTTTTGCATTCCACTTTACGTATCGCTAAAAGGCCGACTAAATACGAGTTAAGAAGACGTTATACACTAGGCCAAGCTGGTACGCCAGGAAAAAAATTGATTCGGCAATCCTAAAGCACCCTTTTCGCCGCTAACTTTTCTGGCTTCGAGTGTAGGGATTTCTTCCCCGTCCCTACCTCGAAAACGACAGGCGAGTGATGTTGGAGGCGAGAAGGCAGTAATTGGAGAGAGCGGACGCTGCTATTCGGGTCGGAAGGCGGGCAGGAGGTCTCTTCGGAATCCCTTTGCTTCGAGGTTTGCGATAAGATGCGGACGGCAACGCACTGAAAAAAGAGCGACGTTCAGAGTCAGTGGCCGGCGATAGGGTGCTTTCAGGTTAAAGAGATCAGGCGGCCCGTGTCTCGTCGTCTCATCTACAGGATATCGCAATAAATAACACCCCCCTCTAACTCGCCGAATCGGATCGGAATAATTATCGGATCAGAATGGTAGTTACACCGTTCGAAAGCCCTTGAAACGGCCAGCTTGCAACAATCTTCAAAACCATGTTTTTATTAAGTTAGCTATTTCACCAGCTTTTTTGTAAAACGTTGCCGCTTTTCGGGGCTGCATACGGGCCAATTTGCCTTAAATTCTCGTTACAAAATGACCGGAAGTAGCCGTTAATTGGCTTTTTATGTGTTTTTCTGTGGGCCGAAAAACCATATTTAAAAATCGTTTATCATTAAAAAACTTTGATGGTCCCCCGAGATCCGATGTGTAACTACAAGTCTGGAAAAACGGTAAACTTTTAATTAATCGACCCGCACGACCTCCCCCGCTAAAATCACCGCCTCCCCGATAACCTGACAGCAATCCCGATAGCGGCAGATTTGACTGGCAACCTACCCTTGGAACAAGTATCATCGGAGCAGGGCTTCGTCTCGCCGTTCAACAATTTTTCGATGGCATGTCTGGAAAAGTGATGTTATAGCCAAGAATTCTAGTATTGCAAATACACTTTTAGAGGAAAGCCCACCTATACGAGGAACGACAGTCAGGGCAGGCCACGGGTCCGTAGGCTCGCGTCAATTTCTGTGTCTTCTCGCAGTTGCAGCACTGCGAATTCTGTAAAAAACTGTCATTAGTGAAACGAAAGATTCCAGGAGTGTCGTTTTCGGATCAATCGCTCATTCATACGTCCTATTAATGCGTGGAACATCTCAATATGTTCGCCCTAGCCGAGTTACCCCAAACCAGTTTTTCCTGATGCTAAAAATTTCTATAAAGATTTTACAAGATTTTAAAATGTGAAAGAATTAAGTCGCCATGCCTCGATGTACCAGGGGTTTCAAACTCAAATATTTTCTTTTGTCGCTATTTTTCCGTTTCAAAAGTACTGTGGTCTGATTCTACAGATCAAAGGCTCCATTTTGGTACCATTGACAGCTCTGTAGGCCTAAGGAGCGCCGAGATATGAAAACTCACTTTGGACTAGGAAAAATTAGTTAAATAAAAACCCAGACTTATAATTGTCATAAAAAATTTTTAGTCTTGTTTTCCACAATCAAACAACGTTGTTTATAGTGGCTCAAGTCTAGGAAACCCCCCGCCCCAGCCACAACCAGCAGCCATGCGTCCTATTAATGCGCCGAGTATCTCGAAATGTTCGCCGTGGTCGAATTACTATAGAAAAGTTGTTTCCATGCACCACAAATTGTTAGAAAAATTTTTTCTAACAATTATAAGTCTGGGTTTTCTTTAATTAATTTTTCCTGGTCTAAAGTGAGTTTTCGTATATCGGCTATCTTTTGTCCTACAGAGCTGTCAATAGCATCAAAATGTAGCTCTTGCTCTGTAGAGTAAGGCTACAGTACATTTGAATCGAAAAAATAGCCTAAAAAAATAATTGGATTTTAAACGCTTACAAGGAGTCGCTTTTAGGTGCTTTTGGAGTTTTGGGACGGGACCTAGCTAGTTCGATAGAGAAAAAAATTCTGAACACCATACCATTTTCAAAAAGTGCTGATCGATAAAGGAATTTTAGAAAATTTAATTTAAAGTTCGCGCTTTTTTCTAGTTTTCGGGTCCATTTCCTCGGTTGACGTCGTTTTCGGGGCAGGGCAAGGCGCCATTCATAACATTCCGCCAAGGCCTCCACCACAGGTTGCATTGGCGTATTGGTAGCGCGCTTGCCTACCAACTTTTTAACATTTTTTGCCTGGGGTTCGAATCTTCGCGCTGACTAACCGTTTGCTTTTTGGTTCTTGAACCCGTTATCGGCGCATAAAATTTTAATTAGCAAAAAAGCAAAAAGTTTAAATAAGAATCGAACTTGTGGCAAAGGGCCAAAAAAAACTTCGTAGGCCGACGCACTAGCCACTTGGCCATGCTTAGGACGGGATGGCGATCATTTCTCTAATACATCGCAAAGCGCTAAAATAACCGCAACATGGCTAAATCGAAAAGTAAAACCAGTTTTTTAAGATTTTCGAATTTTTAGTATTCCGAGCGCAACTTGAGACTAGCATAGAAAGATGCGCGAGATTTTTCTGCATCGGTTGGTGTATCGTTTAGCTTGCGCTAGGAATACTAAAATTGAAAAAAATCGCGATTTATAGGCGAAAAAGGCGAAAAAAATGTCCCATAAAAATACAAAGTTGTTAATTTTGTTAATCTGAGGTATCAAAACGCATCTAGAAGCCAAGCTGAAACGATTGCAAAAAAGAGCAAAAAGAAATTTCCTTTCTTTCGAAGTCGCGGAATCGAACCCGGACCCTCCGCCTGGGAGCCCTGTGGCGTAATGAGTAGAGCGTCGGCGTACCAATCCAGAGCCGCCGCCGCTTTTCAGCTTGGCTTCTAGATGCGTTTTGATACCTCAGATTAACAAACTTAACAAATTTGTATTTTTTATGGGACATTTTTTTCCGCGTTTTTCGCCTACAAATCGCGATTTTTTTCAATGTTAGTATTCCTAGCGCAAGCTAAACGATACACCAATCTATGCAGAACAATCTCGCGCAAATTTCTATGCTAGTTTCAAGTTGCGCTCGGAATACTAAAAATTCGAAAATCTCAAAAAACTGGTTTTACTTTTCGATTTAGCCATGTTGCGGTTATTTTAGCGCTTTGCGATGTATTAGAGAAATGATCGCCATCCCAAATTAGGTATTGTCACAATTTTTCAGCAAATTCGGTGCAATAGCTTTCGAGCTCATTTTTCGGGGTCGGCAACTTTGAGGCCCATTTAAACACTAAAAATTAACTTTTTAAACTTTCAAAACTATGCAGCCCTACTAATTCGACTATGCTCTATCCGATGCCGTCAAAAAAACAGGGTCGAAAAGAACTGTGCCAAGCTATAATGGGGACTGTTCGAGTGACCCGCGGATGGCCTTTTAAATACTCACAAGGAGACGTTTTTTAGTGTGAATGGAGTTTTAAGTTGAAACCAGGCCTATGCTGTGCAGAATTTTGCGCTAATTCCGATACTGTTTTCCAATTTTGCTAAATAGCTCGATTTAAAAAGTTACAGCTATTTTAAGATAATTTTTAGGCCCAGAGTAGCCATATGCTATGCTGTGCTACTTTTTTGTTATAACGTTTTAATTTTATTTAAGTAGCCTATCTTGTAGATATTTTTTTTCTGATTCGAATGGTATATTTGATTAGCGCGCTACTGCCGATCCACGACGGCTTACAGGGGTGAGAAATAAGCTGTTTTTCACCATTTCCCATACAAAAATCACAAAGTATCGTCGATTTTTTCGATTTTCAACAATTTTGAGTTAAATACTCATTTGATAGAGAAAATTTTTCTGAATACGGTGACGATATTTATTTTTGGAAAAACAGCCGGGAAAAGCAATATAATCGTCCCTAAAGAGGGGAAAATTTGGGCTAAAATCTTCTTAAAATTGCTATAACTTTTTAAATCGAGCTATTTAGCAGAAATGGAAAATATATTCGGAATCAGCGCAAAATTCTGCACAAAATAGGCCTGTTTTCCACTCAGAACTCCATTCACACCAAAAAACGTCTCCTTGTCAGCGCAGTAATAGGACGCTTGGCCGAAAAAACTCCTAGACTTTACCAGCGAATTCGGCCCCCCGGTCTAGTGGAACAGCACACCATGTTCAACTAGGTCAAAAGCATTCCGTTGTTTGGCAGAAAGAAATGACAGTTACCTCAACGTACTCGGCGGGCCGTCCCCTTTGCGGAGGATTTGGTTCTGGGCCCTGCACGTCCTGCCCCGGTCGCTGAAAACTGTCAGTTGACTCGAGGATTCTCAGTTCTAGAGTTTTTGGCACTACACTGCTAGTTGTTCCAAAAAAACCTGCAAATTTTCTCTCCCCCCGAGTATCGTCAATTTTTTGAATTTTCGAGAATGTAGAGTTAGCGGCTCATTGAAAAGAGAATTTAAATTTCTGATTACCATAGCGATATATTTGTCTTTGCAAAATCGGCAGGAAAGATAAACATAATCAAGCTCGAAGTTTGACGTTTTTAACCAGAGGATCGCTTTAAAAGTGGCATATCTCGAGTTTTAAAGATCCTCGGGCTCACCTAGTAAGCCAAAAAGGTGTCACAGACCGTATTTCCTCTAATATACCCGTTCCCCCTGTTAATAAATCCTCTCAAAAAAGGTTCAAAATAGTATTTATTTTTCAAGAAATGCTAAAAATGTATGTAATTTAGCGCTGCGCTGCGTTCCTGAAAATGAGTCGCGTGGCTATGGTTTTGGATTGAAAGCCGTTCGCATCTTTCTGACCTTCTTTTGTCTTGTTGTTGTTTGTTCTTGGCTGCATTTTTTGGCCATTGGGAACCTCCCGAAAAATATTTATCGAACCGAGTATTGAAACACACCGAGCACAGTAAATGGACGAGAGGAATGGAATCCGATGGACGACATATTAGGGGGAAATATACAAAAACACCCAAGAAGAGACGTGCTGGAGCTAGAGACGGAGAGGAGACCCAAACAAAACCCTATGGGCTCGAGGAAATCGGGGGGTGTACGGCGGAGGCTTATGAACGATCGAGAGATTAGGACGTAGTACTATAGATGAGGTAAGGCTGGAGGTTAAATGGCCGTTGAGATGTTGCGACGAAGTAGATGTTATGCTCGGATTTTTGCAGATCCGTGGCTCATTCGCGGCGCAGCATTGCATCCCGGATCATTAGCGGCGACCCTGAAAGGCAGAAAATCAAAAATCATCAAATGACGACCAAATTTTGGATTCTATGAGCTGATTATCCCGTTTGCGGTGCTGTAGGATTGCCCGGTGGATCAACTTTTTTTTCGACGCAACCGTAATTTTTTTAGACAAATTATTGCGGGTCTACATTCACTTGAAATCTTCTTGGGAATAAAAACCTTGCAAATGACACTAAAAAGATGAAATTTTTAGTAGATTTTATTTGAAATTTTCATAGAAAAACGAACTAAAAGACTTACTAACTACGATTTTAAAAAAGACCAGGGTTGAAAAGCCGCTTCGCGACTTTTCAACCGTGGCCCCCGTCTTACCCCCCCATATTTCGTCGCATTGCATAAACACCTGAATTCCTGTGCAGAAAAATGAAAAGCGCGTCCTCTCCGCCGTTATATAGGCTTCCCCCGCTTCCGGTGCATGCTAACTACTTCTTAACAAAGAGGCCGAGCGAGATTTTCACAAAAACTTAATTTTAATATCGAAAACAGCTGATTTTTTAAAATCTCATATGCGTGCAGTCGTGTCATGACCATTACGCACCTAATCACGTATCATACGTGCCCTTAACTTCCTCCCCAATTGAGATACGACTGGAACATACGGACGGAAGTTGCATGCAAATGCACACACACACACACACACACAAACACTATTTTTTTTATATTTTAAAAAAAAGATACACTAGGCCAACCTGGAAAAAATTGATCCCCGGCAATCCTAAAGCACGCTTTTCGCCGATAAATTTTGACTTTCTGCCTTCGAGTGTCGGAATCCCCCCCCCGCCTACTTGGATTCCATCCCCCCTCACACGCGAGAAAAGCTGGTGAGCTGGTGAGCCCCAAGAAGAGCTTTTTGTAACCTTACTGAAAGACGATCCGCAAAACCCTACGTTTGGCAGAGAGCGATTCCGGTTCCTCCCGCGCATGTTGATCAAGGCCTGCTGGGCGGCGGCGCGACGCGGACGATGCTCAGGAGCGGGCTGAGAAAGATGCTCGTTATTTCATTCTCTCAGAGCTTCCCAAACCGCATCCGGGCTAGCGGCTTGACGAGGGCGCGCTCGTCCTTGTTGCTGTTGCGGCGGTGGTGGCGATTCGGCTCCGACGACCTCCTCATCCTGAAACAAACCGGTTAATTGGATGTCACAACGGAACGCGGGGCATGTCCGTAGGTTATGGGGAGGGTGAGATGGGACCTGATGGGATTTAGAGAGACTCGGACATAAGATTCTGCAACCTAGACGTTATGAGTTTGGGCAATCTTATCCTAGAAGTAAGAGAAAGAGACGGAGAGAGAGGGAGAGAGAGGGGCGATGGAGAGCAAGAGGAGAGAGAGATAGAGAGAGAGAGAGAGTGAGGAGAGAGAGAGAATGAGAGAGAGAGAGAGAGAGAGAGAGAGAGAGCGAGAGGTGGGTGATTTTGGGTTAGAGTTGATGCTTAGGGAAGGGAGGTCGAGCTAACGCAATAACAGCGACTCCAAACCTCAGCAACATCATGTGGAGCTGGCGATGGAGCGGGCGTGCTTGCACGACTTGGCGGTGACGGCTGAAGCATGTGTGAAGATAAAGGGCTTCCTCGACAAATTTACTTGACGACGTTGGTGTTCAACTCTCGGAACCGTGGTCCACCATCCGTCATCGTGGGCAATGACCAGCGAGTGCACATAATTCGTCAGCTAAATTGCGGAGTTAATCGGCCGAATGCAGAAAGCGTCACTTCGGTTTTGGCCTTCGTGGTGGCCTCCCCCTGCGTGGTAACAACGCGTTGCTCCACGTCACTCTGAAAAAGTGTTTAAGCTTTAAATGATTTTTGTCTCGGCAGATTTCAGTGCGCCATCATCCGCTAAATTTAAGGTACTGAACTGTTAGCGGGTGGGGGGAGGGGCTGCTTTAGCAGGGGGAAACTAATTTTAGTTTTTCCGGCTATAATGTGTATCAATCATAATTCTATTACTGTGTTCGATTAAATCTATTCCAATCATGAACGTGCATTGTCCGCTTCCCTGTTAGCGGGGGAGCAAATTTTTAGCTGGGTAGCAAGGGAAAATTTTTTAATTAAGCCTATGTCTGTATAGTAATGAAATAAAATATAGTTTAGAAAGGTTTTTGATAGTTTCCGATCACCAAAACACCATGGAACTTTATCAAAACATCGTATAATTCTGAATTTTTTGACCAATTCGGTCATTTTTCATACGTTTTCATACGTACAAAAGTCGGTGTTTTCTAGTTTTGTAATTTTTTTGAAAGCGTTTGTATTGTTATTTGTTTTTGTTGTTCAATAAAATAACTGTAAAATGCTATCGGAAATCATTTAACTTTAATTACTTCACCCCTACAACGCCTTCGGAACAAAAAAACCTTGCTCCCCCGCTGACACGGAAGCACATATTGCTCCAATGTTTTTCGCGGCTTTTGATGGTTAGGAAATTCAAATAAATATTTTAAGCCTTTAGAAAATTCGAAAATTTGTTTTTGATTTTGTGTTGTTGTTGTTTTCGAAAATTTTTGGATATTGATAACTTCTTGGCGAAAAAGTCAAAAATTATCGAAAACCAGCGCACAAAATCCGGTTCGCATACCTGGGCAAATAAGGTGGCCAACTGCATCTGCATGCGCTCCAGTGCCGCCGTTAAGTCCCGTTCGGCTTTTCGTTCGTCTCTCATAGCCTAAAAATCAGTTTTTGCAAGCACGAAATTTTCCGACATCCGTGAGATCCTTCGCCGAGTTGGGAGCAGTTCGGCCTTGCTGACGGCCGTCGCGTTCGGCTTCGAGTAACAGCTAAACAAAAAGGTGTTAGATGAGGTGTTCCACAACTCTCAGCAACAGTCATTTCGAGCTTACTTACTTGCGGGGTCAGGCCTGGACGGGCCGCTGGGCGGCGAGGCTGACGGACGGCCGGCGGCGCCGAGCCTTAACAGCATTGTCAGTCAGTACCATAGCTTACGTCAAAAGTAAAGGTCAATTAATACTACAGGGTGTCCTAAACCCGCCCCCCCCCCCCCCCCTACCTAGCGGGCCGGAGAGGTGTCCGATTCCGGATTTTTTCCTTACTTTTACTAATATTTTTGCAGAAAGGGCCTCATTTCTGGTGCTTTTCGGATAACAGGATTTTTTACAAAAAAAACCACTTTTTTTTACAAAAAATTTTCACGACTTTTTTCGGAACCGCAAAAACAGCTTTTGACAACCATTGCCGAAAACACAGCTTGGGTGGTGCCTAAAATGTTTAAATTGGGGTTTCGCGAAGAAAGCGTCTCCTTTTTGCATAAAAAATACCAAAAAATCGGGCAAAAAATTCCGGAATTTCAAGATTTCGACTGGACTTGCCTTTTCGAGAGCTCTCAATAGATACCTAAATCGTAAAAATCGGACACGTCTCCGGCCCGCTAGGTAGGGGGCGGGGGGATTAAGGATAAAATGTTTTTGTATAAATTGAGGACGTATTTGTAAAGTGCCTTTTACTGTTCCAAAACACAACAAACTGTCAAAAATTCTCCTTTGAAAAGCAAGTATCGATTTTTCACATATAATCATTTTTAGGCTCATATGAAAATTTTTGGTCCCCTCTGCAGGTAACGGAATCCCTCGTAGTACAAAGAACTAAGGCAAAAACGTACGGCTTCGGCGCTGGCGAGCGCGGCCTTCATGGTGATGACGCGTGTTACGAAGCTCCTCGATGGCCTGCGTATATGAATTAAATGTCTTAACGTATTCTAACCTCCAGTTCGTCATCGCGCGCATCATAAAACGCACGCTTCCTCAAACCGTTAGCCCTCCATTTCTGAAAACGATCGTTTCGTTTTGATAACTTTCGGCGCTGCCCTCTCCCCCCCCCCACACGAAAGTCGGGTCAGCTACTGCTTTTTGCAAAACATCATCTTGGGTACTGGACGGCTAGCGGGGGGGGGTAGTAACTACGAGTAACTTTCTACGGCCCTACACCCAAATTATAGCCCATTTTTATCGCATTTTACCCAGTTTTCCGATTTTCCACAGTAGACCACTTTTTGGTCAGCTAAGATCGAAAATGTCGAAAACTACCTTTCGTTCTGTGTCCTCGATAGCAACCAAGTTTATTACTTGTTTTTGTCATAACTATTTTAGATTACATTCCTTTAAACTCCAAAATTAAAACTCTTAGTATATTTTTCGATGCTCTACCGAATGGCTTCTTTAAAATGTCAAAAAATAGCGAGAATGTCAAAAAGCAGCCGCTCAACCCGATTCTAAAAGTTTCCTTTTGTTTTTACCATAACTTTTTTATATTACAATAATTTAAGCTAAAACAAAACTCTTTGTATATTTCTCGATGCTATATCGAATCGCGCTGCAAAAACCCTGGATAGTAACAAAAATGTCGAAAAAGGCCTGCCCGTTCCGTCTCCCCCCCCCCCCCCCCCGCATAACCTACACATACCCTTATACTTTATCAAAAGGTTGGCATAGGCGCAAAAAATTGTGTTTAAAATTTTGGGTGTTGTTCTATTTTGCGGGGAGGAGGGGGATATGCTTCGCGGAACCTTCCATCTTTTCGCTATTTTGTCGGGATTTTTGCAACGCGATTCGATAGAGCATCAAAAAATATACTAAGAGTTTTTGTTTTAGCTAAAAATATCCTACCTTATATAATTTTGGTGTGTATCTTTGTGTGTGTGTGTGGATGTCACTTTCGAGGCCCGATTTGAGGGCCTTCCACTGTCCTAATTCTTCGTCACTTGGGGGAATCGACCCTTCTGTTTCCGATGGCGCTCTCAGAATTTCGATAAAATACAAGTTTACAAAGTTAAAGCCGGTTTTATTCATTTTTGGGGGTAATTTGCATAATGTGAAAAAATACAAATTTCCTCATTCTTGCGAGTTGCACGCGAGCGTGTGGTGGGGGGGGGGGTCCGAAGGACCTGAGCTACCGGAAAGTAAAATTTCTCATGCAAACGCACCATTCCAGCGCCCAAGGCCCGCGAAGCGGGTTTTTGGGCGCTGGTTGTAATATAAAAAGTTATAGCAAAAACAAAAAAACTATTGAAACTGGTTCCGGACTGTTAGTTTTCGGCATTTTCGCCACTTTTTCGATATTTTGAACCCGTCATTCGAGTGAACATCAAAAATATACTAAGAGTTTTGATTTCATCTAAGAATATCTACCATTTACTATATATAAATTTCTAATGTCCGTGTGCGGAGAGGAGGGGACGGCCAGCACTGAACCCTCGCGCAGCGGGGGGGTCAGCGCTGGTTGTTTTATAAAATAGTTATAGCAAAAACAAGGTTTATTCGGTGTTTCCACATGGGAACGTGGAGTCGAAAGCTAGTTTTCGAGATTTTCGATAACTTTCAAAAATTTCTTTAATGCCATTCGATAGAGCGTCAAAAAGGATACTAAGAGTTTTAATTACAACTCAAAATAGCATCATATAAAAGAGTTATAACAAAACGAAGCATCCCCCGCACAGTTTTTTCCCCCACGCGAAATAAAACAGTACCAATTTTGATGAAAATTCTACCCTGCTAACAATCCAGAACCACAACTTGTACTATTCCGTAAGAATAAAACCGTACAGTGAGCAGCACCGCCGCCATCGCTTGCATCACCTCCGCGTAGACCGTTATGACCATGGTGATCATCAGGCCCATGTCCGGATCAAAGATGTCCTGAAATTGGACTAAGAATTGAGACACCAGAGAGAGAGAGAGAGAGAGAGAGAGAGAGAGAGAGAGAGGGAGCGAGAGGCGGGGAGGTAGAGCCAGCGAGTTAGCGCGAGAGAGTGAGAGTGAGAGTGAGGGTGAGAGCTAAAGGGAGAGACAGAGAGAAAGCAAGAGAGACATAGAGAGAGAGAGAGAGAGAGAGAAAACCATTTTGCCCACCATTTTGAATCTGATGATGGCTCTACTGGCACGGCAAATTTGTGTGGATCGCTCGTCTGCGGTCAGTGAGGAGTGACTCAGCTGATGATCCGAATGTCCTGGTAGTCCCTGAATTGCAATATAAGGAGTGAGGTTCAAAATGAGCGGCTTACCTGACAAAAATGCCCAACAGAAAAACGGTCGAACAGCGGACGAAGTGGACGCTTCTTCCGGCTATCGAAGCAAAAGTGAACGTTCAGTAAAAGCACCAACCTGATATCAACCGAGAAACTGTAGAAGGACAAATATTCGTGCAATTTTTCGAGCTTGCAATTTCCGGATGTCGTAAAAAAATTCAAATTTGTTCATATTCAATTCCATTCAAAGTTAAAGTCGCGGAAGCTTGAGCGGTCAGAGCTAATGGTAATTCCTCGATGCAAACGAGTGCTGTGCCAACTTCAAAATGGTGTCCCAAAAATAGCGCTGGCTCGGGGGGGTTGGAGTGACTAGGATGGGTGCTTTACTCCGTTCCCGGGTTTGGAATAGATCGGAAATTCTACAGCATTTTGCTACCAGGGCAACCAATACGTGATTTTCCGCCTAATTTTTGACAATCGCTGCAAAACGTGACCATGTCGGCGGCCAAGCCGGCGAGGATAATCACGGCGGCCACAATGCGAAAGCAAAGCAAAAGCATCGTTTTCACTTTTGTCTGCTCTTTAAAAATCATTGCGTAGCTGTGGCCTTCAAAGAAGAATTGGGTCTTCACTGCAATGGGTTAAACTGCTTGAACCAAAAGCGTCGTAGTGTGCTTGAATCATAAAGCTTTGCAGGATGGAACCCTTTCAGGGACCGGCAAGGCATGAAAATGGGCAGACCTAGATATATAGAAAGACTGAAAGAGGAAAAAAGAGAGAGAGAGAGAGAGAGAGAGAGAGCGAGAGCGAGAGAGCGAGAGCGAGAAAGAAAGATAGATTGATTCTTGCCACGGCAAACAGCGGCCTTGGCATGCCCGCAACCAACCGCACGCCTTGTACCCCTTGTATTGTTGCACGTCCCGCCAATAGCCTTATAAAGCTGCTGAAAGCAGCTCACCGTTGAGCCAGAAAAAAATGCCAATGGAGTTGTGTCCCTATTGGACGGACCTACTGACATTCCACCAGAGCCCCGAATTCAATGTCAGCGGTGCAGAAGGCTTGATAAAGTCGCTTGACCACCACGCCGCCCCATTATGCGGGTATTGTCGACTTGGAGGAGACTGACGTTGCATCGATAAATCGACATGAAAGTGGGATAACACTTTCATATTCTCATCCAGCAGATTGTTCCGGAGGATGGAGGCGCAAGCACCAGGGTAGGGCAACAGAATCGAGTGCAAAATTCTGCTGCAGTGCTCGTGGGCCAAGAAGATGGCGACCAGGCTTGAGATTGCAGGTAACGCCGCTGAATTGGCAAAAAGTGAGATGATTCCGGGCTAAAAGTTTGATAACTTGGCCTGATTCTCTCTCTCCCTCTCGCTATCTCTATCTCGCTGACTTTCTTTCCCGCAGTCTCACTCTTATTTTCTTTCGCTCTCCCTCTCACTCGCTCTCTTTCCCTCACTCGCATGCGTGTCCCTCACTTATGGTCCTCGTCGACTTCCTCGAAACGGTTACCACATGTACATCTGTTTTTTGAGCGCACCGTTCGACGTAGCCTTCAGCGAATTTTCTAGCGTAAGAAAAACGACGTTGAAACCAATGGAAGACCAACCATTCCAGGTAAATCCCAACGAAAACGACCCATTCCCGAATCCCAGCCTCTTCAAATTTGTAGAATAGCAACTTGTTCAAGGGTTGATGATACTGATTGCGCTGCTTTTTGGTCATAAGCGTATAGAAAATAGTCTGCCTATTGCCCAGGTATCAATTCTTCTTCGATAACACGATCTTCGACAGACTCCCGAGAAGACTGTTGTCCTAATGTGGTTCTTTAGGATTCGCGGGGGAGTATTCCCGGGGGGAGGACCAATTTTTTTTCAGGCAATTGGTTGACCTATTAATCATATATAAAGTGTTTTCAAATTGTTTTTAGTAAGTTTCAATTATATTTAAAGCCAAAAATTTTTCAAAAAATGTTTGAAAAGTCGAAAATTTGGTCATTTTGGGTCTCCCCGCGTATCCTAAAGGTTCTATAGGATTGTTCGAGCTAAAATTAAATTTTTTGAATTTAAATTTGTGTAGTTATTATGCCTAGTAATAGCTAAAAACAATTTAGAAACGCGTCCGCTATTGATAAAAAAATCTAGGCCTGTGCCGAAAAAATTGGTTCCCCCCCCCGGAATACTTCCCCCCGCGAATTTTAAAGAACTCCTAATGTTTTATCGGTTCCACCTAATGGTGACGATACAATTAAGGGCTATGGTCTCGGAAAATTGTATTTATCGGGCAGAAAGGTTTGGAATCGACGGTCAAGATGGCGCTCGTGCTTGTTGCTCGTGCTCGCGCTGCTCGTGAAGCTCGTGCGCTTGCTTGTGAGGCTCTGAATTCTCAACCAGACCCGCCAAGAAAAGTGATCGTCAAAATCCTAAAAAAAGGTTATTTCTGAAAGGACTAGAAAGCCGCAGAATCTGCACTGTTTTGACTGGGTTGACAACTACGGCTATGCCAAATTATACGAAAAGGGTAAGCTTTATGCAGGGCTTGATACTTAAAAAGTTCAATTAAGATTTGGCGCGCTGGTATGCATAAGCCCGTTAGTAGGTGTATTGCGTAGCTGTCGAGACCTTGTCTAGGAAAGGAGTGGATTTTTTTATTCTGGGCCATTTAATTGTACCGTTACCCCGCCAACGCATTCCCGAAAGCCGGCAAAATGGCGGTGACGATGGTGAGGAACCAGCTGGTTTTCATGATGATATTGTTTTC